CCATACGCAAGTCATTTTAGTGAACATGACTTCTTCTGATCAGTAAACTGATATGAAATGGCACCATTTTTCTTATTATTAGCCAGCGTTTGTGTTGCCTTGGGGTAATCTTGTGATTTATGTCAATTTAACATCGTCTGAAAACTCTAAAAACGCCATTAAAGACCTGCACTGTACACTATTGTTGTTTTTACATATTCAGCGTGCAACACTTGACTGCTACAGATTCTCGTCAGGCAGAAAGGGGTTTCCATACAATTGGATCTCAGTTAAGAGTAAGTATTCTTCACTGAACAAGGACCGATTTTCATAGCCATCATCAACGTTCACTCAGAACAAAAGGAGGTAAAAGGAGTAAATGATCTCCAGTCTCGTAAACAGTTTAAAGCGCGGGAAGACGCGGAAAGCGCGGGAAGACGCGGGTGACCAAGTTGCGATTGGTTTAATTTTAGCTTTGCAAATGATTGACTGGGAAGATGGCGCGAGCTCTCTGGACCAATCAGAGAGCAATACTATAGATAAAGAAAACTGGAAATAGCTATAGGCATGAAAAGGAAAATATCAGTCATTGACTCTTAAAAGAGGTCGCTTTGTATCATTTACATAAGTTGTTGCTAAGGAGATGATTATATTGGGGATTTCGTTGTAAAGAGGGAAAGTGTTATGGGGGGCTTCCCGAGTTTTTCCAGTAATGAGACTTGATACCTTTTTGCAGGTTTCTATCGCTGAACTTATGAAGAAAGTGTTGTCGTGTGAAGTGCATTTTATCAGGTGTGGTTTCTCTCCTAATGTAAGGGCCATTATAGGGTACTTGTGCTGTGATAGTAATCTTTGAGTTTCCAAAGTTTTGGACTGATTGGTTCAGTTTTTTTTCCAGTTAAAATAAGGAGCATCCATTAAATCTTTGGTTAGAAATCAACGATAAGATTCGAATTCGAAATAGCTTGACAACAGATCTAAAAAGATTAGTTACATGGTAAACCTTATTTCTCACTTCTTGGTGCTGAAAACACCTCGCCAGTGAAAGACACACGACTGATCAAGAACTTTTGATTAAAAAACTGACTCGTCAGTGGTCAGAGATGGGGACTTTTTCTCATGGGAAGACTTCCCTTAATTTTTTTCCATCTGCGTCGTACCGGAAAACTTGGCTACAAAAGAGCTATCATGAAAAATGTGCAATATTAATGAGGGTTATAGTACTTGCAATAATTGCTAAGTTTTTTTTACAGCTCACTCTTTAAGCCTAATGATGTGTCTTAACTGGACTGGCTGTTTATTTATCAGGTGCATTAAGCCAAACTCGTATCAGTCCCCCGACCGCTTTGATCCTGACACGGTTCTCGCTCAAGTGAGGGCGCTGGCTGTGGTTGAGACGATACAGATGAGGAATCTTGGGTTTCCTGTTTGGTTCCCATTTGATGTCTTCATCAAAAGGTTGGCCCACCTTTAGTACTCTGTGGTAGTTCGCGCATGCGCGCTGGAGTGTAGAGCGGTTTTGTTTCGAGTCACAAATCTGTTCCAGGCTTGGTTTTTGAAACGGCGATTATACCTCCAGGATGAAAGTCAAATAAAATAGCCCTTTTCCGTGTTCTTACGGTTCAGAGATTTGGTACTGAAACGAAGACGACGAGAGTGGCTTCGCAAGTAGTCTCGTTCTCGCGCCAGCCCTCTCTCTGCAAAACCATAGAACTTAATCAAATTTCTCCTTTAGTTGATCCAATTGTGTTGTGAACGACCCTTCCCTTGATCTACGCTTATAGTTTTTAGCTTAACGGACTCAATTCACTGAGATTTCTTTTAACAGGTTTGGCATCCTGGTTGGTCTGCCCTCAAGTGCATCCGTGAAAGACACGAATCAGACATGTCAGAAGATGCTCCGACAGTTGGCAGGTCCTCAAGGTTGGAGACTGGGTAAAACTAAGGTACCGAGACCTGATGTTTGGTCGTAATAGGGGAATCCTTGTTTACAATATTTGCCTCATTAGCATAATGAGGCAAATATTTTTAGCTCCATCAGTTTCTGATGGAGCTAAAAATAAATCAGTTCTGAATATCGAAAGGTCAAAGTACGATTAACTCGGCCAATGAATACGAACCTGATGCATTGAATACTTTTTGTGCAACACGGGTTTAAAAACTCAGAATTTTACATAGAATGTATGAGCTCATTAGCGCTTTTGCCACCCAGAAATTTTGCAGTTTTTGATGGACTATTTCTCCTTGAATATTACACCCAAAGAGCTACAAATTTCACCATGTACTAAGGTTTTCTAGCTCTTTAGTTGCCTGAAGTCAATTTGTATCTAACATGCTTCCTTCTTTACGCAAAGCCGTATGCAAATGAGCAAAAATGTAAACAATGACGTCAGCGTGAACCCGCCATTTCTCTAGAGCGTCTTCTCAGCACGTTACAAAGTTGTTGAAAAATTTGATTTTGGCTAGTGAAACTGTAGGTCTTTTTTAATTCAATTTTCGAATCTTAACTTCCAGTGTTCATATTCTTTTTGCTGTTAACGTTGTCTTGAAAGCTTTTTGTATCGCAACAGGTGTTCTTGAAGTACTGGTGTTTGGATAGGTTATACACTCTCCTGCATCGCTTCGACTCTATGGCTGTCGTCATACAAAAAGGTAAAACCACTCAGTCTTTGATTCTTATTGCGATATTCTGCTCTAGATGCATTCTTGGGTGTATTATCCACTCATTACTTTCCGTGCGATTTCGTCGGATGAAACGCATCACGTGTTACAAACTCAGGGAATGGTTAACAGGACGGTACTCCGTATGATGTAGGAGGTACTCCGTATGATTTAGCATCTGTCAAGTCAGAGTGTATTGCCTCGGAAAATCCAGCTACGTGATAAAGCATTTTTCTAATGTTTTCTCAATTCCTTTGATTGGTCGTAAAACCCTTGCGCAACCTCCTAAGCCAATCAGATGCAAAACATACCCAGGCACAGTTTCCCCGTGCTTCGCCCTAGTCATGTGAGCTTACTTCGAGTGCTGATTGGCTCCATTTGACATTTAACTGTTTTCTGATGGCTAGTTGTGATTATCTTAGCCCTGGCTTTATGAAACGCAACGGAACAAATGCTATTAAAAGTTTGCACCTATTGCTTTATCGTAGAATAATATCGATGACTCTCTCGAAAATTCGCGTGAAAGAACCAAACCAGTTGGAGGGTACACTTGATAAAAAAAGTAAGGCGGCAGAGTTACGCTTCGAGGAACCACTTCAGGCGAATATGCATCACGAGCCTTTAGAAAAACAAGGCACAGCTATTTTCTTGGTAGAACACATCTACTGAAGTATTTTGTAAAGATGATAAACATTCCATGGGTTTTCTTTAGTTGTCAGAGGCTGGCTAGCAAGATCCCTTTATTCCAGGCTAAAACGGCTGAAAGTGGCGCAGGAAAATAATGTGAAAAGTTTCCTGAATACGGTGAGTGCAGCATTAAACCACAAACTCTCCAAGAGGTGTTGTAAACAAGATTTTATGTCGGAATGAAAAAGTAATCTTGGCATAACACCACACAGTTGTACACTCTTCTCCGCGCTGGCTTTCTTGGTTACAGCGGGGAGCGACCGCTGAGGGGACTGGAAGCCATAAGTTTGTTTATTGATTTTTTTCCGCTGTTATCTTGCAGATCGGTGATCGAAGTGAGGCGATATTTCAACATAACACCAACCAAGTGAGGGAAGAGGACTCCAAGCAAAAACATAAACAAAACGAGGTAATGGTCAAACTGGCCAGCGGTACAACTATTGCAGAGGATAAGAATATTACCCTTTCTTGCAATTGAGTGAAGACAATGCTCGCATTTACCGTAACCAGAGAAAAATATCAAAAGAGTAATAGGAAAAATCAGTAACTATTTTTTCACCTTTTGCTTTGAGAGCGAGAATAAGAATGTCGACAAACCTGATCGCCCCGAAGCGGGCTAGAAACATGATCACATGCCAGCCATCTACGGAGAAATGCGAAGGAGGCTTTACGCGTTATACGTAGTTCCGCTTATTACTGTTTTTTTTTTTTTTCAGTCCAGATTGCGAGTAATATTGTAAGGAATGTGGAATTCATTCAAGTAAAGAGCAATTTATTTGCAAAAACGCTTAAACTTCATTTTCAGAAAATGTTTACCTGATTTGTTTAGTTGATAAAAATGCTCAACACATAAGTTATTCCAGGTAATGACCTTAAACTTCGAAATCATATTTAGCGCGTTTAGGATGCCTTTAGTTTTGCATATGATTGTTGCATATGGTTGTTGTGAGTTTTCCAGATTAATCATAGAGTGTATAGAAGGTAGACAATACAATCACAGATTACTTAGGATACTCATTTGAAATTGCTCAGTGTCTACACCGCATAACGTACTTAGGAACTGATGTATTTAATGCTATTTTTTGTTTAGTTGGCCAATGTGAACAGACAGGCATGGAGTCCAAACCTTCTCAACCAAAAGAGTCCATCAACTTCCTCGCAAGCGTCAAGTATGTAAATAATTGCTTTTTTTTGTTTTGTTTACTGAATTAGATGTAATCGAGTTCATTACTGACACTTCTCACAGATGCAATGCGTTCGAGTCCAGTACTTTGGAAGAAGCTCCCACACAGGTTTAATATAATTTTCATGCTCCATTTTCTGCCTTTAAAAGCACACACAACCCACAATTCCTCTATTCGCTCCGACGAAGGGCTAACGCTCGAAACGTCAGCTTTTGTAATCGTTACGTTGGCGAATTTACCATTTCAACTTTGTTAATAAATCCAAATTATTTTGTTACTCCTACCGACGCAGCCCCAAACAGTTTCTTTCGAAACTATCAGCCTTTAATTATTAATATAATTTTGCTTCACTGCATATCTTTATTTCAGTTTGCTTCACCTGTAATTTGTGCGCGCAGACTGAAGAGTGTCAAGTTTTGTAAAAACCTTCAAAAGTCAGGCAATTCTGCAATAAAATGTTTGCAGGCCTTGGAAAGGATATGATTTGATTGTGCGTGTGTTTTGGCAAGTTGTGAAAAATTAATGAAATTGAAATTTTGAAAACATTAATCTCTTTCATAGAAACAGCCTCAATAGCAACTTTTTTTTAAATATATACTTTTTTTTAAAAACTATCCAGTGCTTGTGTCATTTTTTTTTTTAATTTAGGTGATAAATTTTCGTTGTAATTTTTTGTGGTCTGATGTGGTTTTTCCACAGGTTTCGATTTCCCGGACACAGGCTCAGCACCGACTTCCCCTCGCCTCAGTCCTCCGCAGCGGAGCCTGTCTGACATATCTGAGGGTTCTATCTCCGATGTATTCGGCCCAGACTCTCCTATATGTCCCGGTCCTGCGAAGTCGAGAGCTTCTGACTCATCAGTGAGTTCTGTTTCCGATGTATTCGGCCCAGACTCTCCTACACGTCCGGGTCCTCCGAAGTCGAGAGCCTCTGACTTATCACTGGGCTCTGTCTCCGATATATTCGGCCCAGACTCTCCTACACGTCCCGGTCCTCCGAAGTCGAGAGCCTCTGACTTATCACTGGGCTCTGTCTCCGATATATTCGGCCCAGACTCTCCTACACGTCCCGGTCCTCCGAAGTCGAGAGCGTCTGATTTGTCCATTCTCTCCGTCGAATCGCTGTTTTCAAATGTGAGTTTCCATGTAAATTAGCATAACATTGAAGCGATAAATTTACTGAGCACTGTTGAAATTGGCTTATGGCATGGTTGAACCGGCTATTCTGATTGGTTATGTAAGAGGTTAGGGTGAGCCAATCCAGCCCATTCGGGATCGCCCCCTTTGTTCCCGCGAAAATTCAAATGCGCGAGATCAGTTTGCGACGTTCAAAGCCTCAGCGCAACTTGCAAGAAAATAGATATTTAAGGGAATATTTCAAGGTACCGACCCTTCAACTCCCAAGATATGATGTTAATTCTTCCCTCTAACCTCTACACATTTCTTTGTAAAGTAGTAAGGAGAATTTGGCGTTAGATCAAGATAACGACTTCTACTTGATAATTTTGGTTATTATCATCACCTGTTTATGAATAATGTATTGATATTTCTGAGAGAAGTTACATTTTAGTCACCTCTGGTTAATTTAGAGTTAATTTAGTGGCCCAGAACATAGCAACCACTTGTTTAGACGACTTTCGTCAATTTACTTTGCACAAAACGGAACTCTATAATGCAATATTTGGAGCTTTTAACTCAAAAGTTTCTCCATTCATCATTAGGAATCTGAAACGGAATTCGATGCTGCACCCCTGGTTTGGTGTAAAATAACTTGCTTCGAAAGAGAAATTCCACGAAGTGAGTTTTCCATCGATCGTCCATCCATCATAATCGATGGCTCTAATAACGCTTTTGACGTCACAAGGTAATAAATACTGAGAATTTTCCGTGCAAAAGTAGAACATTATTTGACATTGTCCTTACCAGAGGGACTAAAAACTCCCTCTCCCCTCAAAGCCCAAATTGTCCTCAAAGAGTCTAGTAACGTGCTAATAAAACTATTGTATACATCATAGAGTGAAAAAGTTTTGGAGGGAATTTTCGTGCTAGGAAAATGTTATTTCGTTACATTTATTCGGTGTAGTATGTACGTGCATTTACTTACTCAAACACTTTCCTATTGTACCATACCTCGCGCTATCTCGTGCCCTGCACTTTCTCTAATCGTGAACAAAGTAGGGTTGTTTTACTGAATTGAAGATTTAAGTGATAAACAGAAGAGGAAGATGACCATATCGGTCACAACGGCTAACCAAAAGCCAAACGTAAGACAAGGCACAACCGCTTGGAGAAAAAAAAAAAAACCAGCGACCAAGTAGCCTTGCATCTGATTGGTTAATTGAGGATATGACGACAATATTTTAGACCAACCACTGAGTGTGGTAAGTAAATCGATCGATATGTTCTCGTTTTTCACCGGTTTTTCTCAGGATCGGCCTCGGATCGTTACCACCGAGTTCTGACCCCAAGGTTACAAAACTGCGGAACTACGTTGGAAAGGTGAGTCTATTGTATTTCCCCTAAAGATAAGCAGACAATCGGACGCCCGAGAGGGAGGGGGGTTGGGAGTGTCTTTTGATTATGTTCTAATGGGAAAACTGCTAACTCTTGCATTGGCTCTCTCCACTCATCAAAAAAAGAGAGAGAATGAGAGGACTGGGACGACTTTCGAGGAACTAAGATTCCATCCTGGTAGAATTTCACTGTCTAATCTTCTATAAAATTCTGTCGCTTTGAATGTTTATGTAATTTCGGTCTTGCACTTGTGTTTCTCAGGGAGTGGAGATTGTGAACGATGAGCAAGGAAACGTATGGGTGACTCGAGGAAGCAAGAACAAAATTTTTGTGAAGGTGGGAAGAAGTACATCATTGTGTTCTCCGTACTGTTGTATAGCACTTTCCAGAAACTATCATAACTGCGGTTATAGGGAATCGCAGCCTACAGTAGGTTCTTGTATGCAAAGCGCGCTAGCGGAGACCCACACACAAGAAAACATGTTAAAGGGCAGTTAGGACTAATCGACTAGTGCTCCGCTTTCAGTGTTATTTCAATATCACTATCACGTCCTGAATTGACTCTTCTCTACCTTAATGTCAATGGAGATGTAAATATATAATTTTGATTGAAAATAATTCTTGTACTGAACAAGAAAGTGCGTTGTGCGAGTGATCGGTACTGAATATTTCATTAATTTTTTATTGAAATTATCAAAAACGTTACAGTCGGAAATTGTTTACCTATGCAGACATTGGTGCGATAGTCACTTTTAAACTGCCACGGTAGGTTATCTACAGTCCGAAAACTGAATTTTTTTTTTGTTTGCAGGGTCATTTCTTATCCGAAGAAGTCTTCGCTTCAAAAGGTGTCCTGGAAAAAGATGTCACTCTCAAAGTATGTTGCTTATTTTATTTTATTTTATTTAGCTTAGCCAACCGGCAGGAACACCGCAACAGCTTCCGCTGATTACTGCGGGCCCAATAAACCCACTCATTCCACCCCAGGGGAGGACATCCATCACACAGAAATCTCGTGTGTGGGAAATTAACATCTCCTACCTAACCCTGCAGGAGACGGAACCTCCATTTATTCGTCCCTATCCGAGAAGACTAGAATATCTAACCATTTCCTTGATGTTATAGAAAGGCAGCAAATTGTTCTCAATTATTTTAAGACCCTGAGTATTGGTCCGGCCGGGGCTCGAACCCTCGACCTCCCGCACAATAAACAGTCCAGCGCTCTATCCATTGAGCTAACCGGGAGGCGGTTAGGCTTTTGATGTACTCTGTAGGCATGGAGAGATATGTGCCCCCCTTCCTTTATGTTCATTTCCCATTTATAATTTCTTTTCTCAGTAATCTGAAAAAAAAAAAACGCCTACTCACCAAAGACTTCTTCAAGGAATTCAAATTTGACATACTTTCCGCTTCTACCGCTCGCTTTTTGCATACCGATTTGTGTTTACTTAGAAGTTAAAATGTATATCTATCTTTATTTTCAAATCTAAGTTATATTTTTACATAACGTGTAATCCTCTTTTTTCTTCACACAACCCCACAAGCTTGTGGCTTAAAATATTATTGTGTGTGAATAAAGGTCACCTATCTATCTATCCGTCTGTCTATCTATCTACCTTATCGATCTATCCTACTTACGATGCTACGCATTAATGATCAGTTACTTTTTGTCGAACTCAAATACTTTGTGTGGGGGAAGGTGATTAAACTTAGAGAACGATTAACACCCGGGAGTAGTTTCATAATCTTTTTCATTCTTTCTGTTTGTCAGGTTTTTGACTGGGAATCTTTCGCAAGCCTAGTTCGACATCACTGTCTGGAGCCCAAGAATTTTGATTCTGATATCGAGGAGAGGATCTTGTCGAGTACCTCGGTCTACTTCAGTTTTGTGGTAGATGGCGAAGATGACGTCAACACGCCATGTTGGGCTCAGCTTGATGTTTTGTCTGCCTTCAATCAAGCTAAAGGTCCTTGAATGTTTCTTCGTAGGAGTTACCTGACAAGGAATCGCCTTAATTAATTTTTCACACGGTGGAGAGGCAACTTACTTAAACTGCATGAAGTTTAGCGCGACGTAACTTCCACGCAAGCGGGCGAGCGAAACGCAAACACTTAATTCTTCTCATATTTCAAGCTTGTGATATCATTCTTAGAATCTTGGTAGCCCATAGTGCTGGTGGCCTCTACAGGATTTAAAAAAAAAAAAAAAAAGCTCGAGAAACCCCAAGATTGATCAGTATTCAAATTTCAAATATCTAACGAGAATCTCTGTTTTAAGCGAAAGTTTCCTCAGGGATTCATTAAGTGTTCAATGCTTGTTTATTAACCAATAATTTTTTGCAACTGCGTTTGATAAAGATTAACAGTAGTCATCAACGGTAAGATGGAAGACGCGGGTAAAGTTTCTTGGAAAAAGCGACCAATTTTTTGTACTCGTACTCAGTCTTCTCGCGGCCACACAGTGCGCACAATTTATCCCACGAGAAAGTTCTCGGCTGAAGATTAGAATTACTATGAAACTTGCTGGAAATTCAACTAAGGTGATTTTATGTTGTCTCTTTTTCCAGCTGCCTGTAAATATGCTCGTGAAAGAAAACTCCAAGAAAAGCAAAAGAAGCAGAATTCACTGCCACCAATTCTTCGTCCCAAGACGAAGAAATCACGTGAGTTAGCTGCTGTAGCTCATTTCCAAGAACAGATTCGCCCCAGACGTTCCGTCGACACGGACAAATACAACCGGAAGGCATGGGCGCGAACGGAAGTCGCTATGAATCCTTTTCTTTATGGTAAAAAGGAAAACCTTACAATTATGAAAGCGCTTCAGAAGGAGACTACTAAGGAATCAAGAAAAAGCCTTGATGCCGCTTTTCCCCAGTCCCCGTCGGCCGCATTTGGCAACAGCAATGACATGACGGACGCGGGACCTGAGCAGATCACTGTTGTGATTGACAGGGTGGATGATGTTGGTGAACTGATGAATCAGGAGACATATACTACAACCACACAGAAGTCTGGTCGCGAAAAACCTGGCAAGAAAGTATGGGCTAAGAAAAAGTTTGCCGAGGACAAAGCTGAGAAGGCAAAGAAAAGATCCTCGTGAAAGTTCAAATGAAGAATAATTTCAAGGGTTCCGGTTTATTGTCAGGCGAAAGGGTAAAACATTGCGTTTCAGGACTTTTTTACGACATACAGGAGCTTGAATAGTGTAATGATATGTAGCCTCTCTTTGGTGCTGCGGCGCGTGCTGAGCATCCCGGGAAAAATAAGACCCCGTGACCCCCATTCACGCTAGACCCCTTGGTGGGTAAACGCAATACATCTGACTGCAACATATTTTTATATCCGCTATTATTTATCCGGACGTCAACGGCGTGGAAAAGGAGGAAACATAAGGTGTATTCTGTTTTCATGATTACACTCTTTGAAACGTTTTTGGCGTTACTGTTTTCAGTGAAAGTCTAAAGTAATTCTCAGATATTTAATAGGTACTGAAACTCGACAATAGCTAGGTTTCCTTGAGGAATATCCGAATCGCATTCAAAGCTAAAAGCACAAATGTGTGCATTAGTTTTTTTTTTTCGACTATATTCTTAACCTTGTATTCGTTAGTTTGCCAAATCGTCGCTTCGTCATCGCAAAATCTTGATTCTTAACACACGAGACTGTAGCTACCCATTGTAGCACTTCACGTGTCGCTTAGAAGGTATTTTTGGTGGGTTAGCGTTGCTGGGATTTGTAGCCACACCCTTCTGGATCAGGGAAACAGAAAAGTATTTAAAAAAAAAAAAATTGTAGCTAGAATTTCTTTTGTAGGGTTTGATTATCAGTAAAGTTTTATTTATGGCTAGCCTTTATCGTCCTTGTTTCTCCTTGACAAAACGGCTTTGTAATCACGTGCGCGCTGCACCGTGAAGCCGTAATGCCGTACTGACCTTCGGTTCCTTGTTCTTGTATGCCTTCATCAACTTTTTTATCTCACGGGGAAGGGAGGTTAGGTGAGTAAAAAATAAAAAGAGGTTTGGATGCATCGATAGAAACATGCACAAAAAATTATCCCCGTCAGATTAAACTTAAAAAGAAAATTGCACCGTAATTCTCTCCCAGCTCAACTGCCCGCTTCCCTAAAGCATCTATTCATGAATCCAGAAAGATAGACACAAAATGCGCGATGAATTGAACAGATCGAAGAAACTTTAATACGCTTTTCTTCTTGAGTATCTGTTGGTGCATCAAATTCGGTATTTTCCTTGCTTTTTTCGTCCCTCGCGAAATCTAAGCAATTCTCACGATGACCTGTTGGAGGCCTTTTAATTCTCTGGTCACCATTTCTTACGCAGGTTTCAAGTTTCAGAAAAGAAGTGATATTTTCCAAGCTTATGCTAATTAGTGAGATGGGATTTAATCTCCCCAGCGTAATCCAACATGCCTCATTTTTTTTCTTTTTTTGTGGGGGGAGTTTGTTTTGAGTTATTTTACGACTGAAATCCATTGCAACTAGGATATGTGCATTTAAAACTATAAAAATTGATAGAATGGTACATATTTTCGCACCCCTTTAAATCTTGAGTTAAAAGAAAAAAACCAAAAAAAGGCGAATTGGTCATCTTTTACTAGGGAGGGGTCGGTCCTAAAGGCACCTAATTTATGCGCCATATATGGCGGGAGGGTGCATGCGTGTAAACATGCCCACGTGATATGATACAACATGGCGACATGCGGTTGATGAATTTGGCCCAACATGAGTCGGGTGTTCGAAGACATATGTCGGTTACATTGCTGATAAGTTGTGACTGCAAGCCATTTCCCACTCTTCTTGATTTCCATTTTCTCGTGCAGGATTTGTGGATACTTGCTTTGAGACGAAGTTCACCAGATCTCGCATATCCTCTGATTAGATCCCGACGTAGAATTAGTTGTTTATGATTTTCAATTTACGTTCTTTTCCGCATGAAGACGAAGGTTTCAGCTGATAACAGTGTAGAAGGAGTGCCTTCGCAAACAACTGCTGCTACCACGATTGCAAACACTGCTCAATCCAGCGTCTGGTCAATATGTGATATATCGACCGACCCACATGTCGAGCTACGAGACATAACACCGTCAATTAGTCCTGTATTTACCGACGATCAAGTGCACGAGCTGACTCGAAATCCTGCCGAAGTGGATGTGTTGAGCGAGCATTTTCTCCCCCCGGATACTTTCAAACGGATCGACGAAGTTCTGAGCTCGAGCGGAGAAACAAACCTTCTCTACACAGATCCAGAGCTTAGTGACACATTGAAAGAAAACCACGATGTTCTTTTAACAGGTGAGCTTGGTTTCCATGGAACCATGTTCCCATCGTTCGATTCAATAGTTGAAGCCGACAGGATACTAAACAAACGAGATGAATCATCTTCAGAAAACAGTGCTGAGGCAAATGATTCACAAGCTGGCACTTCCGATTCTGTTAATTGGTCTAAGGACAGTGCAGAATTGAATGATACCACAGGGAACCCAGAAGGTGAGAACCAGGAAAGTGACAACAAAGGTCTGAGGCGTTCTCCTCGAAAGCGCGTTCAGGTCAAGAAGGATTTAGATGTACCGAAAACAAGCAACCCTGCTGGAAAATCTATCTCGAGAGGCAAAGATATATCAAAGCTAAAATATGCAAAACAAGCTGATGAAGGCAAAGAAGAAAAAAAGGAAGTGCGCAGAAGTGGCAGGGCACAGAAAAAAGTGGAAAAGGATGAAAGTGATGACGACAAAAAAGGGAAAGACAAAGTTGTAAATAACAAAAAGAGAAACACAAAGGAAGATGCAAAGGCACAAAAACCATCTTCACAGCCAGAGGATTCCTCTAAAAATGTGCGAAGGTAAGCTTTCTGAGTTGTTATCCATTCATTTATTTATCCTCTTTTGCTCCTATGTGGAGGCGTGGTGGCCTCATGGTTGGTGCACTCGACTCTGGATTGAGTGGTCCGGGTTCATACCCCGGCTGGGACATTGTGTTGTGTTCTTAGGCAAGACACTTTACTCTCACAGTGCCTCTCTTCATCCAGGTGTCTAAATGGGTACTGGCAAAATTAATGCTGGGGGGTAACCCTGCGATGGACTAGCATCCCATCCAGGGGGAGTAGAAATACTCCTAGTCGCTTCATGCTACAGAAACCAGAGTTAAGCACCAGCCTAATGGGCCACTAGGCTCGTAAATAGACTTTACCTTTATCTTTTGCTCCTATGGCAGAGCTTTAGGCTTCCCTTACCTGTCTGCTGTTCCATACAAATTTTACGCACTGTTCAACCCCGTGATAGGCATCTCAGCCCGAGTAATTTGGCATAGCTGAGATGCACAGAGTCTCTAAGTAGCATTCATTTGAAAGGGTTGAAGATATTTACCGCAGAATGATCTTAGCAGTAGTCTGCTTGCCTCCTTACCTGCCTCAAATATATATTTTTTTCTATTTTACATATACAGTGTATAGATCAGCACTTGAAAAAAAAAATAGCATGATACATGTATCTGTCTTCCAACATGCTCTGTGATACATGTATGTTATATTTTGTAACAACAATCCGGGAAGCATTGTATGGTAGTAAGTTCTGGTGGAGATGAACCATATACTGACATTCCGTACGTAAGTGTAGACAGAACCAGTTTAGACTAGCCACAGATTGTAGAAATTCAGTCTTGGTTAGTGGTTTTTTATTTCTATCAGCCAGTTCTGCTAACTAGTAAACAAACTGAAATTGTGGTAACATCTAAGATGTCAATAACCGCTTGGCTAGTGAGATGAAAAGTTAGGGTCTAGCCCTTCATTCAGGATATGAATATGTGCATGTAACTCAATAGATTAAATTAAAGACAGCTGTTTTAAATGCTGACTGGAGGTGTTGAAAAACAACAGATAATAACAAAAGAAAGTAGAACAAAAGATGAAAATGAACAGCTAGTTATTAACTCACTGCATCTCAGGAAAACCAAGAAACAAATCCAGTTGGGTAGCGTAATGAAGGATTTCTGCCTAGAAATTCCAGTGGTCAAATCCATTGCCCTTTAATAAGACCCAGTATGTTTTTCAAGTGTAAGATAATTTTATTCTTCTTGTAGGTCACCCAGGAATCAAAGCAAGGCTTCCATGGAGGCAAAGCAGAAAGCAAACAAAAAAGCTCCAAGGAAGCGTCAGGAAACAAATCTTGAAGATTCTGAAGGAAATAAAGAAGGGAGCAATGCCATTTGTGACGGGAAAGAGCCTGATAGTATAACAAACAATAACATAGAAGACAAATCTGATGAATCTGGATCAGATGCAAAGAGGAAAAACAGGAAAACAGACATTTCTGAAGAGGTGAAGGGTAGGCCAAAAGAGAAAGCAGATATAAGAAAAAGTGGAAGGGTGACAAGAAATAGAGGAAAGGAAGCTAATGAAGAAGAAGAGAAGGTGGTTCGTGGAAAGGTTAAATCAAAGGTGAATAAAAGTAAAGAAGAATCTCACAATGAACCAAACTCTGGTGAAACAAAAGTCAAAGATAAAAGTGAAACAGAGATTACAAGTAATGAGTCAGATGTAAAAGAAGATGGCCAAGATGTTTCTAAGAGGATTACTGATAGTTCTGAGGTGAAAGATGATGAATGTGTGTCATCAACCAAGAAGGAAAGAGGAGGTGACATACAAGAAAAAGCTGTCAGAAAGAAGACAGTGGAAGTGAAAGTTGAACCATCAGAAAACAAGGAGAATGAAAATGGGAGAAGTAGTAGAAGAAAAGAAAGAAAATCAGTGGAGAACTCAGTGAAAAGTGTTGAAAAGGGTGAACAATTGAAAACTTCTATGGCAAAACAATCCACAGAAGACATGCAAAAAACTGATAAAAGAGAGAGTTTGTCAGGTGAAGAAGATACAAACTCTGTTAAAGAAGGGAAAAGTGTTGAAAAATCTGTTAAAAAAGAGACCCTGGCTCGTGATTTAACAAACAAGAAAGCTGTCAAGGATTCTTCAGTGGATCCCAGGCAGAAAGGCTTAAAAGAAAGTCAAGAAGATAAGGAATCAGATGCTGAAATGGACTCAGATAATAATGAGGAGTTTAATGATGACTCAGATTATGATCCAGAGTATGATCCAGATCGTTTGTGGTGTGTCTGTAGAAAACCACATGGTAACAGGTAAGATTACCATCATGTTTTTTCACTGTACTGGACAGTATTTAACAAATAGATTTCATGTTGCTGTGCATCTGCTTAGCAATAGATCACAGATGCTGTCAAAATGGGGCAAGAACTGAGAAGTGGCACAAACGGTGTAGCTGAGTGTGTTACTGATATTTCTACTGCATTTTGACATCTTCTGTGATGAATTACTGAACAGACCCACAGCAACATGAGTTGTCTTTCTTTTAGAAAAGAAAGAATGAAGAAAATTGCCAATGTACTCCAATAAATCATTGAAAAGAACCAATTGAAATGGATGCATGATTCAGCCTTTTATATAAACAAATATAATTTGCAAGAGACTGAGGGGTTTTGTGGTTAGTAAACTGGTCCACAGAGTAAGTCATTGTGTGGCATTCTTAAGCAAGAATCAGTTTCTTACGGTGCTGTAACATGTAGAGACTTGTTTTTGTTTTCAAAAGGAGGCAGCTTTTCAAGGAGGCTATAATTTGCTTTAAAATAAAACTTGAACCAGACCTTGGCTGTTTGAAATGTAGGTAAATTTTAAATGAAGCGGTCAAGAATGTCAAATCATACCTAGAAGGTGACTTGTGTACAACATCATTTTAATCTGAAAACGAAGGCCAGTGAAAAAGCCAAATGAATAAGCCTCGAAAAGCCGCTCATGTCAGAAGACATTTCACGCAATCCTTTATGCGAAATGTAGGTATATGTATTAGCGACACTGTCCACTGATTGCATTTACCATCAAGCTGATGATTTTGAGCCAGCAAGCTTTATTATCCAATCTGCAGTTATTAATTCAATTTATTGGTAACCAACATATTTAATGGACAGGATCATCACGTGAGCTTGTGATGTTTTTTTAAGGTCATTGTTTTTTATTTTTTGTGATTTTCAAGGTTCATGATTTGTTGTGATCATTGTGAAGAGTGGTTTCATGGAATATGTGTTGGTATAACAATGACTCAGGGGCGACAAATGGAGAAGGATGGTCAAGACTATGTCTGTCCTAAATGCAAAGGTACCACTAAAATATTTTAATAGAATAGAATAGCTTTGTTTGGGTAGTAACATTGCACATTCTGTAGACTGAGATACATTGAAAGATTGTTCTAATTGAGGTAAAAAGTTGATAATAATTATTTACAATAATGTTAGGATTTATGATATACACATATATCAAATTTTCTATTAGTGGAAAAAAATGTTTTGTTTTCTTTTTTTTGATGTGTCAGCAAAAATAGAAGCAACATCAGAAGTACCAGAGAAAAAGAGCAGGGAGGTGGCCAATGCTGAAAATACAGGAGGTAAAACATCTTCACCGGAACGTCGCCATCGCAGAAGAGAGCACTCACTTAAAATGAAGATCCCGGGTGAATCAGAGACAAGAAAACGGCGGCATTTCAGTCTTGGAAAGAATAGGGATGAAATGATTGAGGTATGTGCATGTACTGTACAAGTTTTTGTTACAGTGAACTGCATTTGTTCAACATTTTCAAAAGGTCATTGTCTTACATGTATGCCCGTAATGACTGATACATAACTTAGAGAAATCCTGTCTAATTTAAACAGTATGTCTTGAAAGTTAAGGTGTCTATATGGCCAACAGGGTTTTTATAGTTTTCGTATGTATTAAACATGTAAAAAGTATTCCTAAATAAAAATTGGATTCTGACGAGTCTTCGCCCTGAAATTGAGCTTTAAACTTCCGGCTTTGGCCATGCCCATTGAAGGTGACCATGAGTCAGGGCAAAGAAGAGATTGGGTTCAGAATGGGTCATGGCGTCAAGTCAGGAACAGGAAAAATCCTGCCAGTGGTTCATTTCACTGTTTTTTTTTTTTTCAGTAAGGTAAAGAGTTTTCGGCAACATAAATATGCCTGATAGATGTGTTGTAAAAGTACTGCGTTTGTTAAGCAAAGTAACAACACGATGCTCAAGACACTCCTGGAGTGACGTCACTCATCGCCAATCTTCCCTTACGCAGTCAACTTCAATGGGCGTGGCCAAAGCGGAAACTTTAAAGCTCAATTTTAGGGTGAAGACGCGTCAGAATCAAATTGTTTTTTTTGAGAATACTTTTTTACAGGTTAAAGAGATACCAAAACAATAAAAACCCTGTTGGCTGTATAGACACTTTAAATCCATGATTTGCATTGTTGTTGAAACTTTAGCCTTAAAAAAGGAAATCACTTCTGAAAGAAGTCTTTACATTTTTGAACCTATGGGGTTGATGAATGTCATTGGTATTGCATACATTTCCATTTCTTTTAAACCTTTACAGTGCCCATTTCACATTATCAACTTAGTTGATAAAATATGGGAAGCCTATTGTAGCAATATTCATTAACCCTTTAATAGCCGCAGCTTTTGTGAAAATCTGTGTTTTGAGGCTAGTCGAGCAGATTTCGAGCCGCTGTTGTGGTTTTAAAAGCTCAAACTTACCACAAACCCATTGACAGCTTTTACACTTGACGGCCTTTCGATCCAAATGCAAAATGGCGGCCTGAAAATCTCAGGCACACGCAGAAAGCAGAATTTCAAGAAAGTTTTTGGGTTGAAAAGTAATGCCCCACTTACGACTTTTGCTTTTCTCTCTTTTTCCTGCCCTTTTTTTCCCCTATCCTTGCCTGAAGTTTCTCCTCACTTGCTGGAAATTTAGTAGGCTTCATTTTGGTGTAGAGATTTTTTAGGAAACTACTCATTATTTTCAAACCACATGCTCAGAAAGGTAGGTGGGTAAACGAACAAGATTTTCATGCAGATTTTCAGGTCAAAGTTACATGGTTTTTTGGCTATTTCTCCGATCTCCTTCACTCAACTGCTCTCATTCTGGTATAGTTTGTAAGATATTTTGACCATTATTGCCCAGTCCCTTTTGATCTCGGCAGATCACGAAAGGCTGGAACACTTTTTGAGAGGCCATTTTGATTTTTTGCTTCGTGATCGATCGTAATGTCTTTACTATCAAATTTTAATGCTGACGAAGACCTATCAGCATTTCTTCATACATTTCTGGACAAAGCAGAAAAGTTTTTACCTGGAGGAGACTGCTCCCTGGATAGTTTGCAAATGCAGACGGTTGTCGATCAAATGATTAGCTTGCTTACTTGCTTAGAACCTTGGCTGAACATGATAAGGACTTCCAAGATACATGGAACTCCCTTGCAAGTGCTTTTTATGATGTTTTCCAATGCCTGCACAAGAAAATTTTCAATCTACACAACATGCCAACTACTGTTGCTCAAGTGTCAATTAAGTGGGCATTTTGAGTGTCAAAATGGCAGGCTAGGAAGGCAAGCGAGAAGCGAACGAAGTGAACACTGGGGAAGCTAGAGTTCTTTCGGTCAACCGCTGTGCAGTAAATAATTGAATGAAAATAAATTGTATTGAACGAAATAAAAAGTGTTGAACGTAATATGGGCAATTGAAATAAAAAAAAGAGGTTGAACCGAAGCAATCGCATTGAATGATACCAAAGTATATTGAATGCAAAATGGGACGTTGAACCCAAAAAATAGTATGCTGAACATAAATTTATGCGTTGAATTGAATTAAACTAGACTCTTTGAATTGAAATATCCATTTATTGAATACTGCTACAATTGACTTGCCATAGTAAAACCAAATTACATTTCCATGGTTAAGTTTCAATTAATTTATTGTAAGTTTTGTTTATGTTAAGGAGGATTTCAGTGGCAAGAAATCTAGAGACTCTGAAAAAGGGGAAACAAGGGATGATATAAGGAAAAATGTACCTGAACACAAAGGCTTCAAAATACCCAAGAAGGTGACGTTTATTCTAGCTGTTTATTTTGTTGTAGCTGAAAAAGAAGCTTAGGTGAATTCTGCCAGAGGATCTTCAACCCTAGATTTAATACACTACTATCGGCAAAAGCATCATGAAGCCAACTGTACAAAGCTGATTGTGATTTTCTCAACAGAAAGGGACAAATTGAGTTGTGTTATGGATACTAGTCCACTGAGTATAAACCCCTCTCCCATCCCTCCAGTGGTATGTTATGTTCCCCTGACTGTTCACCAGTGCCCATTTATTCTCATGGGTGGGGAGAGGCACTGTCGGGATGAAAGTGTCCTGACCAAGAATGACGTGGCTGAGACCTTAGGCTTTAAAGGCCAGCATGCTCATGACCAGGCCCCCTCATTTTCCAGTTTGATTGATAAAAATTTAATAGTTGTAGAATAGAATACACATCTACATGTAAGATCCTTTTGTTGTTGTGCAGGTGAGGACAACACCAACTCCAGCATCATACATGCATCATCCCACCCAGTCACAGTGTGTGGCTGCAGATTGTTCAAAGCTTGCTGATTATCAATCTGTTTACTGCAGTTCAGAGTGTATGCAAAGGTAAGACTTGATTTGAATTTTAATGTGTCAAGTCATCTCTTACCTGTTATGCTGTCATGCTTTAATGTTGACCAGAAAGTTTTCTACAGTATTACTTGGTGAAGGTAAAGCCACTTTGAGTCTTAAAGTTAGAACAAACACAGAAAAAGCCAACTGTCAATATAACTTAAAAGTACGGCTAGTACTCATATCCACAGACGTGCATTGATATAAGCACCATCAGGCTGCACAACATTTTTTGACCAACAATAAGGGTTTGTTATTTTCAGCTCAATCTCAGCTGAGGTGGTCCTAAAACCCAAGAGCAAATTCTCAGCTCCACATTCCATTGTGCTTGACTTTAACCCATTCACTCCGATGATCATATTATTAGTAATTCTCCTTACTGTCTGCTATACAATTCTTGTGATGTTGGTTTGGAGAATTTGATATTGGATCAACAAATAATCCCCTTATTGGTATTTTTCTGTATTCTCGTCACTTGTCTGCTTGATATGCTGAGAAGAAGTTCTGTCTTGGTTTTTAATGAGAGTAAAATTGTTATAAATAAATAAAGTGCTTTTTTTGGTCAACATGGAGAGTAAAAAGTCTGTACCTGAGCTTGTAATTCAGATGAAGGCAATTACAGATGCCTTTTAAAATAAAAAGAAAAGGCCTTGCATGGAAAAAATCCTCATTAATTTTGTACATGTGAGAGGTCCAAATTAAGAATAAATTAATGTCAAGCATAATAAATCATGAAATCACAGCTAGGCATTCTTGGGCAGGCTTATTGTTTATCTTGTTCTAATTTTCAGACATGCTGAGGAATCTATTAAAATAATCTTGGAAGAGAAGAAAAAAAGAATGGGGTGTAAATCATCAGTTTCCTCATCCAAGAATGTCACATCACCAACAGTAAGTCTATATTTCTTTCTTTCCTAACATTTTTTTCAAATTGGACACTAAGAGCTGTCTTCCAGGGTCTTTCTTTGGCAAGGTTGACCCTTTTAAATGCCACTGGCACCCAAAAGTAACTTCTTTCAAATCATGATGGACCATCATTAGTCAGGAAAGAGAAGTACTCTGGACTTTCTGTAAAGATGGAAAACATCAGGCATTTACTGTACACATAGCTCTCGGGGTACCTTGAAACACACAACATTTGCTATATCAGGTCAGCATTTAATCTCAATAACGAAAAGAACTGAAGTTATTTCTTTTAATTTTATGGTTTAGTCAAATCTGTTAGGACCAGTCCCCTGGAATTCTCAAACAGCCCCAGTCTCCTCTCAGCCAGAATCTTCTCAACTCAAAGAGGGAATAGCAGTCATAGAGAGGTCCACTGGGCGGGTGATTGCGGGTGTGGCAGCACCCTCTCAGGAGGAGTTAGTTGACTGGCTGCATGATCATCCTACATTTGAGGTGCTGCGGCCATCAGGTTTGTAGTCCTAGACCAATAATTTACTTCTGGAAATAGAAGAAAATGGTCATTCAAGACCATATTCTGTGTATTCTTTTTTATAGGTAACGTTGTTTCATTAAATTGAACTCCTGCTCTGGTTTGCACAGATGCAATGGAGAAATATTCATATTGCGACCAACACAATCATTTCCAGGCTTATATTTGGTTAAAAGGAGGGGTGCGTATTGGAAGAAGGGCACTCAATCGAGGGGGTCTCCTGAACTGATTTGACCATAATTGAAGCAAAAAAGTTATACATAAAGTGGAAACAGGCACATTTTTTTCTTTGTATCCCTGCCAGTTAAGAAGGTAAGAGGGGAGGAAAGGAGGTGGGCACTTATTCAAGAAGTACTTGTTCGAATAAGTTATCTCAAGTCCCGAGATCTAAGCTTAAGTCTTATGATGATCAAAGATTTTCTATTGCAGGACCTAAACTATTTAACAGCATACCCGCATCTTTAAGAGATGCTGATTCCTGGAATTCTTTAAAAAAAACACTTAAAGACATATTTAATTCGCCAAGCCTTTTTCCGATTTGTAAATATATTTCTATTTAATTTCTATGCTTATATATGTAATTGTTAGATTTTTCAGTGTTTTTTAATAAATTTTGTGATATTGTTAAGCACCTAGAGCAATTAGTGATATAGACACTATATAAATAAAGCTTATTATTATTATTATTTTTATTATTTATTATTATTATTATTATTATTATTATTATGGTGGAGGGGGTGAGCTGTCATTAGAGCATGGAAGTTTATTTTAGTATTCTACATCAATTTATATTGTTTCTTGTGGCTTTTGTATTGAATTTCAGTCGGAAAAGATGAGAAAAAGAAAGAGAAAAAAGAAGATAGTGAGAAAACTGTGAGAGAAAACATCAGAAAATCACTAAGGGAGATTTTAACAACAAGGTTAGTCATATGCTTAGTAAATATTGTTTCAAGGGATGAAGATCAAAAAATTAATTGCGACGTGCCATTTAATGAATTATCTGTTCTGAAGCTGTTTAACATTGTTGTGCATGAATTAATTAAATTATTTTATCACAAGTGCAAGAGTCAGTCTACAGTACTTAGCTTTGATAGAAAATTTGAACAATTTTGGCCATTACAGATCCAAGGAGCAACAGGATTTGAATGCAACAGAAGAAGACATCGATAAGTGCTCACTGGACGTTGAAAGGGAAATGTTTTCTTTCTTTGGGGACACAGGGCAGCGCTATAAGAACAAGTATCGCAGCTTGATGTTTAACCTCAAGGATCCCAGGAACAAGGTTAGATTGGGTGAAAGCTTTTGAAAGTTTGCTTACTCTTACTGTCTGCAATTTGTAATTTTTTAATAATTAATATTATTAAATATTTAATATTAATAATATTAATATTTAATATCAATAATTTTTTTTTTTTTTAATATTTTTTGTAATTTTTAAACTGATGCTGTTTTGGCAATTACAGCACGTTATGTTTTAGAGAATAATTTAAAATGTTTATGCAAATTATGATTTGAATTGAAATATACTGTATATGAAATTGATTTTGCTCATAAACATTGCTTCGAGAGTCACTGTGAACAATGTTTCTTTTTCATTATCAGGTGTTGTTTCGACATGTTCTGTCTGGGGAGATAACTCTTGATCGTCTTGTACGGATGACACCTGAACAGCTCGCATCACCAGAGCTGGCTACCTGGCGTGAACAGGAAACAAAACATGTTAGTATAGATTCTACTTATATTTAGTTGCAAAGAGACAAAGGTGCCAGGAATCATGTGTGTTACGCTCCGTAGCAGTGTTGACTAGAAATTTAAGGGAGCTCTGTCACATTTTTCTAAGCCATTTTTTTTTTAGAGCTGCAAAACTATCTTTATGCGGAAAGAGATCACAAAATATTAAGGTAATGGAAGCAATCATAAATCCAGGAGTAAGGATGGCTAAGGATGGAACAGATTAGAAGGGATTGGAAATGGCTACATTTTTTAGGTACTTGCATCTTGCTGTTAATGTGTTCCTCTTAGATAATTCTATCCATTGAGCTAACCGCCTCCCCGTTAGCTCAATGGATAGAGCACTGGACTGTTGTGCGGGAGGTTGAGGGTTCGAGCCCCGGCCGGACCATCACTCAGGGTCTTAAAATAATTGAGAAGAATTTTCTACCTTTCTATAACATCAAGATGTGGTTAGATATTCTAGTCTTTTCGGATAGGGACGAATAAATGGAGGTCCTGTCTCCTGCAGGGTTGGGGTAGGAGACGTTAATTTCCCACACACGAGATTACTGTGTGATGGATGTCCTCCCCTGGGGTGGGATGGGTGGGAAGGTGAGATCGACAGACTGAAGCGGCTGCTAGAGGCGCCTGATATG